CCCAACGTTTTAGCGATGGAACGATGCGAGAGATCCTTGTTCTCGTGATGAATGCGCAAGATTTTATCACGCACGAGCTGTTCTTTCGACTCCATTTCCGCGAGTTTTGATCACAGGACTTTAAAACTTGCAGGATGTAAATAATGCACTATGAACTAAATCCACCCAAATTTTCATTAAATTCTACCCAACGGTTAAAAAGTTAGAGCAATTTCATAGTGTGGCAATTTCATCGTGGACGCCCTTTAGTTGAAATTGACCTCTTCCAATTTGGATAAAACTTGGAGGGGAAGTATATATGTTTAAGTCCAAATTTTCAAAATTCAAGTTGTTCGTTATTTAAAAAAAAAAGTCATACGTTTTTTTTAAATATCTCCTGAACGAATGATGCTACAAATAGCAGTACTGTTTTCATAAGAATCAAGAAATCTAAATATACAAACATGCATGTAATTATCTTTTCAGATGCATGTATTAAGATAAAAAGACAAAAATAAAATAAAAAAATGTATTTTTTTTCGAATGTTTTAGTTTTTGATGATTTAAAATGTAATATCTCAGGAACTACGCAAATTACTTTTTATTGTTAGGTGTTTTTCATCAAAAAAGATGTGAAACACGATGGTGCCATCAAATTGAAAATTAAAAAATATTTAAACTGAGAAAATGAGTTTTCAAACGTGAATTAAAAATATTAGGCAATATTTGCATATTTAGATTTCTTGACTAATTCTCTTATGAAAACAATACTTAATGCAATCGGTAGCTTCATTCGTTCCGGTGATATTAATAAAAAAATATAGTGCTTTCTTGAAAATTACAAAAAAAAGAAAACGCTCCCCTGTAATCAGCACAAAAATTTGGATTTTGAAAATTCCGACTAAAAATAAACTTCCCATATAAATTTGTTCTAAATCGGAATTGGTCAAATGCATTTTTTTCGGTCACTTGGCGTTGTTATGTTGTTTTATTTACGTAATTTCCAGTGCAGTAAAAATGTATGTTTTTAAGGACAGGATGTGATTTTTAATAAATATGCCTTTTATGGGAAATCCCAGTGAATTTATTTGTCTTCAATAACTGAGGATGTTCGAACGTTCTTTCATGCTGTGAATCCGCTTTCAATAAGAATGTTACAACAATGAATATTGTTGATTACGTGTATTTCTTCAAACAATTGAAAAGCAGAGAGAGAGAGAGTAAAATAATAGTTCTCGTTCGTCGTTAATATTGCACCAAAATGTGCCATTAAATACTTTATAATTCTAATTTTGAGAATGTTTTCTTTCATCAAATTTTCACAAACGCAAGCAGAGACAATCAATACATTTAGGATTCCCGTTATGTTTTCTAGATATTAGCGTGTATTTAGCGTAGTTGTGACAAATGTTCTATTAAAGCATTGTGTATGTTTATTTCGGAAAACTTCGGAAGATCGCACTTTCTCTGTTTAGATCAACACTTTGGACGCAGAGGTTTCAGTTTTACAACAAATAACCCGTACCACCGCTAAATGCATGCAGTCAGGCGTGCCATCAAATTAAGCATCCTTGATTCCTTGCGCTCGCTCTATAGGTCATACGTTTGAATTCCATCCCCGGAAAAGCACATAATAGAATACAAAAAAAAACAAAGAAAACAAAACAAACAAACTACTAGATGAAGTTTTTCCAATTAAACAAAACAAAAGTTACTACATTCAACTCTCCCTTTTTGCCGGCATCGATGGTGTAGTGGCAAGCGTGACTGCTTCTCACACCAGTGTGTCTAGGTTAATCCCAGTCGAGGCTGTTGAATTTTTCTGAGACTCAATCTTTGGTCACGTCTTCCTTTGGTAGAGAAGTAAAGCCGTTGGTTCCGGCCCATGTGGTTGATGGGTGCGGTATCTATTGATGTGTGGAAGCTGCTTCCCTGGCTATTCGATTACCTTCAATGGATTGCAATTGATGTCTGTTGGTGGAAGGCACTCGTTTGCGGAACAGAGTCCGACGTTAAATAAAGGAATTAAGAAGAAGAGCTCTCCCTAACTCGATCTCTTTATAAATCAAAATTCTCCCTAGCTTGATGAAAATCCAGGCTACTTCTACCACTTACCCTCCAACATCGAGTTAGGGAAAGTTGACTGTAGTTCAACTTATCTGCGCGACAAAATTAAATTAAATAGCCTCGCTCAAATTTAAAGTAATTTAACAATAATTAACCATTTAAAACACTTGCACAGGACCAGTATCAGTTTACTGCTATATGTTCATGAATATTAGTTTAATTATAAATAAATAATTTTTGAATAATTTTGAATTCTAAGATTTTTTTTCGGCAATACCGTGACATACCTGTTAAGGAAGCTTCAAGTTCAAATCAGATATAAAAATAAATTTGCAATGATGTTTGTTTCTTTAAGCGTCATGTCACTGTGAATAGTTTGCATAAAAAAAATTGATTTGAAATATTTCAAAAACCTATATCATATTAAAAAAAATTATAGAACATTTCATTATACCTAATACTGCGCACTTTAAGAGTGACACTTTGAATCATCTCTATATTAAACAAACGGGGTCCATCAAGAATAGAACTTCTGTTTCTAACGTTGCTCAGAGCCTTGTTCAATTGATTTGCAATGTAAAACATACGTTTTATTAAGCCAGCATTATGGCTGCAATCAAACCACGATATTAAAAACTAAAAAGTACTGTAGTGCCCTAAATCCGTATGTAACCAGTTGTCAAATTTGTTATGCCTTAGTAAAGATAACTAGATAGTCTAACATTTGCGGTAATATTTCGAAAAAAAAATGTATAATACCTACCTACATAGCAAAAATTCAAGTTAACTGTCAAACCCACGATATTAGGTGCTGCAAAAATAATATGATAATATCTTAATACATATGCTGTCGGTAATCGCAGGTCTGTCCCATCTGCATTTTTATCAATTTTGAGATAGCATGATTATACAGTTTACATTTTTATGTTTTTTGAGTTGAACTATTGAAAAAAAGAGGGTTTGTTCAGGAAAACTTAGAAAACAATACCAAGTCAAATTGTCCCACAGCATAAAGTAACCGCAAGTCAATTCCATTAGAAAAATAGAGTTATGATTTCGTTAAATACACCTACTAAAAAATAACGCCACAACTATGTTTTATGCTTGTTTCTAAAGAATTATGAATGCTGGACAACATATCGCGTCATAAAATTTGATCCACGCTCGGATAGCAGGGTTAATTGATAACTTTCCATCTGTCAAATTTTAACCAAAAGTTAAAATAATCCACCAAATGGTTCAGAGCCTTAAATTGTACACTTCGAAACTAAATTAAGATGTTCAAAAATCCCTCGTTATTGATCGCCGATTTTCGAGAAGGTGTCTGTCAAAATTGATTTCTTGTCTGTCAGAAATAAGTCTGATTCAATAGCAGGTTTATTTTAAAAGAATTATCGTTCAAATTTAAATGTAAATTTACCAAATGGAACACAGCCTTAGGACAAAAGGCTGGCTGTGTATTTTTTCGTCTTTGCTCACCCTTTTCAATGAAAGTAACGTCGATTGGTCTCAAATTGGCTTTCAATTCTTTTTACCGACTCTCTGTCACCTGCTCTTTCAATTTATTTAATACGCGTTAGATAAATTAAACGTATTACGTGTAATCTTCAAGTGTTTTCATGTAAGAAATGCTTGAAATATATATTTTTATTTTCCGTCATATACGTCATGAAACCTCGGTTGATGTGGCTGATGTGCTTCATGAAAGAAGACCAGATCAAAGACGAGCGCTCTTTCATTCGTCCGCTTCACCGAAGCTTGAAAGAAACACGACTGAAACGACGGGAGAAATAGAGAAAAACGATTGAAAATTTGTTTGTAGACACCGACTGTGGTGCTAGAATGATGCAAGCTGCTCGACTTCAACAGAAAATTGAAGTTGATATTGTGACGGCCTGATTCCTACTAAGAACCACGAATAAACACTAAACTTCACACACATTGGAAACTGGATGCAAGAATCGAAGTCCGGCTAAACTTCAACAGCCACGTCTACTACATGCCTCCGAGAAGGCGGCGAGGGCCATGCCGAGCACTTGCCGCCCTCTGGATAGTGTATGTATGTCGATACTGGGGTACGGAGGTCCACCCTGGTTTGTAGCGCTGGAAACCAAGCAGAATCTAAGGAATCTGAATAGTATGTACCGGCTCATGGCCATGCGAGTCCTGAGTGCGTAAAGGACCATCTCGTCGTAAGCAGTATGCGTCATCGAGGGAATGCTGCCTATCTACATCGTGGACAGCGAGTGCTACAAGCGGAAGGAAATCAGAGGAATACGCAACGTTACCCCTCTGCACGGAGTGTGGAAATGTGGTGGAAACACCGGGCACTTGGGCTTTGAGTGTCCAGTGCGAAGGAAGATGCATGTCCTTAACGCAGAGAATTTCGTCGATGACATGTGTCGAGCCACCTGGAATACCGTCAACAACGTAAGTTAAAGGACGATAAGCCCAACACCCCCCCCCCCTTCCTCCCCCTTACTCACGCCGACGGGTGACACCGCTAACAGCACACAATGAACCATATCACATCTATTTTTTGAAAAGTTTTCATGTGCTAATGGTAAGTTTTGTAGTTACTTATCGTATCCTATTGTAAACGAAATGATAAGCTTATGTTAGCACGCATGTTGATTCTAAAATTTCGTCGGCAGTCGATTATGTTGAGATATGATTTAAAACGCTATCTATGATTGCTTTCTGGGCCCAGATAAGAGACATGTACTCTATTAATAAAGAAAACATAATAAGCCAAATTACGGCGCCAATTGTGTAAGAAAGCATCTGAGCTACAATATCTACTTTGAAATGAAGTAGCATTTTCCAAAGGTTACGGCAAAATCAATTTTGTTGTAAATCATCTTGATGTTATACAAATTCTTACATCCATACAATTTCACATACATGAGCTATGTGTAGCAGTTAGCTGGTAAATGGAGCACATTAAGAAGAAGTCGATGCCGAGAGTGTTATTTTTTCCACTTGTTTCATTCAATATAAAAACTTTGCCAATACTGACGTTTGTGAAAACATGAATGCTGGTAGTACGTAAAAACATCAATCTACTTCTGAGATCGCTTTCCTTCTTCGTCATAGTTATCACTGTCCTTCATCCTTTGACGTCTGTTCTCTTCGGTAACACCAAGAATCTTTGCAACCTTCGACTGCTTTACGAGATCCAACGCCTGGAAAATAAAATAATTAGTTTATTAATTTTTTTATGTAGGTATTCGATTTAATGTTAAACGCTCATATGTCTCATTGATATGATGATGAAATAGTGATATTATGATAAATGGTATGAAAGGTTTTAGTGTTGTGACAGTAGTTCTGATATTCCGAAAGGTCTTGTAGTACGTTCAGATTATAGCAATGGAATTACAGAAAAAAATGTGAAAATAAGTTTTTTAATTTTATTGCTCAAATGCATATAACTTGAAAACAATAGGCTGTGGAGTTTTGACGTCTCAAGAAGAGTTGTTTATTTTATCAAGATAAACAACTTTGCCAAAGTCGTCAAGTCTTCAAAATGCCATTCCAATTCATTAAAAAAAGTTCGAGAAAACAAAAACATGTTCCACTGAAATGAAAGAATCTCAAAAACACCAAAATATACCTCTCTCAAATTTTGATATTTTGTTTATCGAGTATTGCTTTATTTTTGCTGAAAATGTCAGGTTGCGTCTTTCTACGCTTTGGGAGATAAAACAAATTAAAAAAATGCCGTTTTTTTAACAATATCTTTAAAATTTGAAGCTTAAACCAGTATGTTTCTTTACAAAAGTTATTTATTTAATGCATTTCCACAAAAAAAATATAACATTATATGGTTATAAGCAAAAAACCGAAACAGAAAGAAAAAACCATATTTTCGACATTTTTTTCTTTAACTCCATATAACTCGGAACCAGTAAGGTAAACAACTTTGCCAAGACATCAAGTATCCAACACGTCAAAGAAAGAAGTTAGATTGTGGCGCCATCTTTGCGGAAGAGTTTTGAACTATTTGTTTATGTCAATAGATGATCCTTATTATGATGAGAAACTTTGCTGAAGACACCAAGTCGCGGAAATACTTCGTTTCGTAGCTAATAATTTTGCTCCACTAGATTGCATTCCTGGCTCAGTGTGCACTGTTTTAACATAGATAGAAACTGCCAAAATTCATGACCTACTGAGAAACTGCTCAGTCAACTTCGAAGCAGTAAAACCTTTTCTTTTTCATTGTTTGCGCGCAAAAGTCTTGCGCATATGCATAGCAAATGTTTTGGCAATAAACCTACCACACCGCTTCGCTTTCTTAAGGTTTATTTTTTACATTCTTTCGGCCTATCCAAATACCAAATAACAACCTTCCTGATCCGAACCTGCAAATTGAATAAGGAGTCTATTCGTACATGTCAACCGAGAAGCATCTTGAATAATCCGAAGTCCGTATGCCCGATGCCCGATGTCCGATGAATGCGCTGGTCGAAGGTTCATATATGATTACCTTGAAGGATTGCTGTAAGCAAAGCAAAGGCGAAGCGAATTTCAAGAACTCGGTGAGTTTTACGAGAGATGCTGGACGATGCGGACATAAGAAGGCCACCTGGTAAGTGACAAGTCCGTATTCTCACTCAAGCTGGCCGATCCCGTTGAAATCAAGGAAAGCCAGGCCTTGATAGCTGAGAAGATGTGAGAAATCAACGCAGTTAGCAACAAAAAAAAAAGATTTTTCGTAGATTGAGTCGGTAGTGTGAGATTTTTCGACCATTTAAAATCGTATGCAATTCAATGTCAAGAACGTGTTGTTTGTACCGGAACTACGAGAGAATCTCATGCCAGTCGAATTTATATTTTCTGGAGACACAACAATTTTGAAGAAAGAAGGAACTATTCTGGCAACTGGTCATCTAAGAGAAAACCTTTTCTAAATAGAGCTGTTTGCCGCGGACCGTTGTGCGCACGTTTGCGATGTGGACACCGGGAAGCTGTGGCATTGACGCTTAGGCCATATTAATCAGCATGGATTAGAAGCGATGGCCCAACAAGGTGTGCTGAAAAGAATGAAAAAGGCACCGAAGATTGGCATCTGTGAATCATGTGTTCAAGGAAAGCAATGTCGTGAGCCTTTCAGTGGTACACGGAACCGCGCAACTCGCCCACTTGAGAGAATCCATTCGGACGTCTGTGGCCCCATCGATCCACCGGCTTGGAATGGGTCTCGATATTTTGTCAGCTTTATCGATGACTACAGTCACTTCGGGATGATTTATCTGTTGAAGAGGAAGTCGGTGGTTTTCGAACGGTTCAAGGAGTATGAAGCTGCGGTGACAGCAATGATCGGTAAGTTAATTTCCCGAATGACAGTGGATCAAGGACTGAAGCACTTTTCGAAAAAAAATCAGAAAAACTACTATAAACCGAGGGGCATCTATGCGGAACCCACGGTGGCTTATTCGCCGTAATAAAATGGTTTGGCGGAACGGTTTAACCGAACCTTAGTAGAGAATATCCGTTTAGTACTCATCGACTCAATGGTACCGCAGAATCTGTGGTCTGAAGCGACACTGGCGTGTGTGTGTGTCTCCTACATCAACCTTGCCAAGCGGTGTCTTTCCAGCAGAAGTGTGGTTCAACTCCAAGCCGACAAGCTACGGATATTCGGGTGCAAATGTTTAGTGTGCATACCGACGCACTATCGTAAGAAGCTGGATCCGAAAAGTCGTGAAATGGTAATGATTGGCTATGCTCCAAACGGTTACCGGCTCTGGGACAGAAATGTGAGGAAGATAACGATTGCAAGGGATGTGAAGTTTGACGAGTGCTCATTTCCGTGCGCTGATGAAGAGAGGGTGAAGGCCGATGTCAATCATACAAGGTTTGAAACAACAGGCTTCTTGCTGGTGTTAGAAGCAAAAATGTTGTAAACATTGCTCAGCAAGCGAATGACACTGTCACGGCAGCACAACATTCCATACTGCAAACGGCCGACGTGTCGTCACAGAAACCAGCTGTTTTATGTAAAAAGATAAACATTGCGATGAAATACGAACACCACTAAACATTTCACATTTCACTAATACCAATAAGCCGCGGTTGAGCCAGACCTTGTATAATTGACATCGGGTGAAGTCCAACATCGAAGCAGACGTACCGCTGTTAGTCAGGTTTTCTTTCGAGTAGAGGGGGAAGTCGAAGCTCAACCCGAAAACGACGATGAAGTGCGACCTAAAAATGAAGACGATGACGAGTGAGCTTCCACTCACTTGCTATAAAAAATGTTTATGGGAATTATAAAATATCATTAGATATTATTATAATATTTTGTGCTTGAAAGTTAAAAGAAGAGGTTGTAAAGTGTGTGTTTGACACACGAAACCTGTCAATTTCGCTTTCAGAGTGTCACAATCAGCGTTTTATGATTCGTGAGCAGAGTGATTGGACTCGATGATTCACTCTGACTGAAATAGTTGGAACGAGAAGTTCAACCAGAAGTTGTTGAAGCTAGGCTTCTAACGTTCAATGCACGATTAATGCCTGTACACGAGGATTAAACTAGAAGATGAGATCTACATCGTACTCTACGTAGACGACTTGCTGGTTGCTGGAAGAAAGATATCGTCAATTATCAAACTAAAGAAGAAGCTGATGTCCATTTTTGGCATGACGAACTGAGGAGAAGCGAGTCACGTCTTGGGAATCAAACTGGACTATAACGAGAAGAGGACCAGTATGCAATTGTCCCAGGTAACAAACATTGAAAGCTACTGGCACGGTTTCAAATGTCGGTGTGCAATCCAGTCAAAACCCCTATGGAAAAAGGAATATTGCTGTCCGGTGATGGTGAAACTATTGATGAATAATATCGTGAGCTGTTGGGATCTATAATGTATGTCAGCTGTGTACCAGACCGGACTTGTGATTTTCTGCGGCTTTCTGGGACGATTCCAACAAAATCCATTTTCATCTCACTGGCAGTTTTTGAAAAGGGTAGTGCGGTACCTGAAGGGAACCAAATCAAGATGTTTGGAGTTCAAACGGAACAATGAAGCGGAACCATTGATCGGCACGCCATGGATAGGAAGTCGGTAAACGGTTGTGTTATCAAGGTCTCAAAATCTGGTATCTTGGTCAAGCAAGAAGCAGACAACAGTTGCCAGCGAAGTAGCGTACGTGGCCTTGGGGTCTGCAGCGTCAGAAGGAATATGGATAACCAGAGTATTAAAGGACTTGAAACTGAAACAAGAAGAAGAAGCGTTCGTCATTTTCGAGGATAACCAAGGGTGTATCAGGATGGCACGAAACTTCGAGTTAAAGCGGTCAAAACATATTGACAAACACCATTTTTTGCGTGCCCATATTGCAAATGGACGTTTGAGGATCGAACATGTCGCAACTCAGCATCAATTAGCGGATATTTTTACGAAGCCAATGGACCCGAAACGTCTAGGAGAGCTATGCTGCCAGATTGGATTAGCCGATTGAGAGAGGGTGTTAACATAGTAGCAATCGCCCCGCTCCCCTACTGTTACTAGCATAGCAACCAAACCAATACTTCAACCAGTTCAGACGTAATAAACCTTAGTTGTTAATCTACGAACGTGTTCGTGGTTTTATTTAAGTCATTCAAGGCAAGTCCTCAATAGTTCACGTCGAAAGCATTGATATTTTCGATCTGCTCTATATGGCGGAAATAGGCGATTATACCGAAGTAGTTCTTTACCCTATTTATGACGATTAATGTTGGATGATTTCAGAGGATTATTCCCAAAATATTATGAATTACCTCTTTTTTGCTACGCAAAGCGCAGTCCTCTAGAGTATCGGCAGCTTCATATTTGCCTTGTCTTCTGTAAAGTGCTCCAAGATTCTTCAACGTTGTTGTCACGGTAGGTGAATCCACTTTAGCTGCTTTGTGCCAGCCGCCATATTCGCCATAAGGTGTATTCTCCCGGTTCTTCAACTTGTTTTCCTCTCTCTCTTCTGCAACCTGAAATTAATTAGGTTTATATTGGATGAGATAGGGCCGGTACACAGATGGGTGTACTAAAACAGTTTTCTTTGTAATGCACTCGTAATAAGCTGAATTACGTATAGCTCATTTTTTACCTGCCAAATTGGTTTGTTTTCACCGTTAATCGCACCAAATTCGCGCTCGTGAGCTCTTGTTAGAACCTGCTTGTACAAAATTTCTGCTTCTTTGTATTTGCCTTGTTTCAAGTAGCAGCTTGCCAGATTATTCTTTGTCTTTGCTACATTAGGATCATCAGGGCCAAGTTTCATTTCGTATATTTCCAAGGCTCTTTGGTAATACATTTCCACTTCCTCATATTTAGTCTATGAAATATAGTTCAAAGATATCATCTTCATCATGGTCACGTCAAATTTCACTTACCTGATTCTGGCATAAGAGTGCCAAATTGTTTAACTGTTTAGCGACATCTGGATGATTTTTTCCAAGCACATTTTCGCGTATTTCCAAAGCTCTTTTGCAAAGGGGTTCAGCATCCTTATATTTACCACGTTTACCATAGAGCACGGCAAGGTTATTGAGAGTTGCAGCTACTGCGGGATGGTTTTCGCCTAATGTTTTCTCTCGAATTGCCAATGCATCATTCAGTAAATTCGCAGCTTCTTTATATTTATTCTGGAATCACAATAAAAATTCAAATTAACGTTTCAAATAGACGTAACTGCGATGCTATTACACTACCCCGAATACAATTACTCCGAATGCCATTACCCTGAAAACTGTTACCCTGAATGACACAAAATTCCCCAAAGTCATTACCCCGAATGAAACAAGTATTTTTTCATTGTAATTATTCATCGACATTATTTTTCATTGTCATTTTTGTGTAAAACTGGATAATTGGGTGTTATGTCCAACAAGAATGGAATATTCCCTTCGTTAGTGAATATATGGAGAAGGGAAATACTCTAAACAACGATTTTGCTTCTTTTGCTGTTCTTTCGCAATATTTTCGAATAGTTCACTTCTCATTATAAAGATCTATTAAAAAAATTAAAGAACAGAGATCATGTCCAAAAGAAGGGAAAATTCCAAATGATAATTTTTCCAATTTTTGATAATTGAATCAATTTGATCCATTGAATAACAATTTATCTTCAAAGTGTTTGCGTAGAACTATGGGGAATCTTATCTACTTCGATGATGTTGGAACTCTGATATTACGGATATTACTCCTTTCTTCAAAACATACGAAAGAACAGTTAATGTACGAATGTAGTAAAAATATCCGATAAATGATGATTTTCCTTCTATTGATCATGAGTAGTTCATGCATATACCTACAGTCAACTCTCCCTTACTTGATATTTATTTATTCAAGGGAACATCGGCTAGGCTATGGGAGGTATCCGTACAGAACATAAGGAAAAAACATATATTTTCAAAATCTATTAGATAAACCAATAATTAATCATCGCGCGTTATGCAAGTTCCATTTACCGAGTTGGGAGGAAATGCTATACTTATATCAACATGAAGCTTTATTGCGATAATGTATTAGCTATAGAAAGTTCTGAAGAGGATAGATTAATAGTTCCGCTAGAGTACGGCAGTGTGAAAATTTAACAGAAGTTGGAATTGAGCGAAGGGCCATTAATGCGACAATGCTAATCAAACGCACACTCTTTACCTAGCTCATACATTGATGGATGAGAGGATTTGAGTAAAGAGCCTGAATTTATAAAGAGACGATATGTCAAAATTGGAACAATCGATTATCTGTCAAAGTCATAGGAGAAAAGTCATTCCAATCGAGCAGAAGACCTGTCAAATGGATAAGATGTCGCCTCTTTATTAATTCAGACTCTTTACTCAACTCCTTCAGTTTTTGTTTATTATTAACGAAATTACTAATATCAAAACGCATAAATGGAAAGAAAATATTATTTGTTATCTTTTTAATATCCTTCATATACCATTTAGATCTCATTTTTGTTACGATTACTGTTAACTCGACCACACGGTAGGCAAAATGTGTTATCACGAACGCTTATATCAAAATATCAAATTTAGTTTTCATTTTGTTTTCATTCTCTGCTCGGCGAGCTATTCATTCCTAAATAGTTTTCCTTAAGCAATTAGAATAAGAAAGTTATAGTAGATATATGACAGTTGCCAGTATGCAACCTACGAATGACTCCATTACAAACGCAACGCAACGTAACTTAAAGTCTCTTTCAATCTATTTTAACTTCTTTATCATTGGCGATGTGATGTACTCGATGCACTATGTGCCGAGATCGCAAACAAAACGAGGCCATTGTTCAACGATACGATAATAACTTCTGCGTTTTTCACATAAAATCTACCCAAACATTTTCCTTTCTACAATCCCTGAGCAGCTGGTTCACCACAAGTGTACTCCCTATAATCGCAAATCAGTCCCATATGGAAAAAGTAGGCATTGAGGAAATAGCCGTCGAAGTTACGAAGTGCTTTTCCCATGTAAATATTTGAAAAATTGTAGGACATTTATTGCAATAAAGCTTGCTTGTTTTGTTATATCAGCGAAAAATATGGCAATTCGAAAAGGAGAACTTAAAACTGGAACTATGGACGGTTGAATTTCAGGATGGGACTGATATGCGATTAATTTGCTTGATGGGATAAACTGACTTGATGTTGTTTTCTCATTTTTCATAATTGAAAGTAGATGTTTAATTAACTTTCCCTCCCGTCCCCTGCGATTGTAAGGATGTGGTCAGGTGTATAATGCGATGCTTGTTTTGTAGATTTTATTTTTGTGTGGGGAAAATCACTAATCCTAAGTGATATTTTCTGCAAAACGTATTAGTTGACCATTATATAGCCACCCACGATTTGTACAATCGCATATGCTATGCTATGCTATGCTATGTATTTTCTTTTTTCGCCTTGATTTGTTTTCCGTCGATCTTGTTTTCCGTACTGAGTACCAATGCTACCGACGCCAGAAAGACAGATCCCACACCTGGACCCTACCTATCGACCCATCAACTCATGGACCGGGGACCAACGGCTTTACTTCTCTTCCGAAGCAAGACGTGATCAGAGGTTTTATGCTCAGAAAATCCCGGCTGCGCCGGCTGGGATTGAACCACTACACCACCGGCGCCGCTTTTTGCAAATGAAATCACACTTAAATATTTAAAATAGTTCCAGTGCACCAAAATTGATAAAATTTTGGATTTCGGTTCAATTTTAAATGCAGATTACGAATACGTATTTACCTCTATACCCCTAAACAACCCAATTGTATGTAAATAGTGATAATTCGTGGTGCAAGGAGCATGAGCGATGAATGTTTACACATTATTGCACTGATTATTGTCGAAAAAAAAAACTTTTGTTTACATCCATACAAAAAGGCGATGGTAGGCAACAGTAATGGAGGTAACCCAAATAAACCTCAATCATTGCGACATTGCTCAGCAACTGTTGTGGCAGTCGACAACATAAACAAAGTGCGACGTTCCAATCATTGCGGAACAGTATCGAGTCCCTCCCGATAACGGTAACTGGGTGGCGAATAGAATTGGGAAGGCGGCTATATTACCTCATCTATTACCTGCAATATTGCCGAAGACACCAAACCGATCGGACAAACAGTTTTCGAGTAAAAATTTCTGAGGATAAACTTGATATTTTTCTATATGCCCTTTTCAAAAATAAGACTGGTTTCAAATTGGCGATATGAAGATGCAAAATGGCATTGTCGGTCATAAGGAACGTTTCCGCAAATTTTCAACCAAATCAAAAAAATACAAAAATAAACCGATTTGCGAATTCGCAGGGAATTGCTCATTAGTATTATAATTGTGTGGCAAGTACAATTTTTTACACGGTAATTTTTACACAGTTTTTCGCGATTAACACGGTACGTTTTTAACGATTTCTCGACAACGATACATCCTATCGACTTGATTCCAATCACATTATCCGTTTCAAACTATAGGTAATCGAATGGCATACTTTAAAAAAAATCACAATATTTGGTGTAAATACAGAAATTTTTAAAATATGTCTATATGGACCATAGCATGCTATAGTTACAAATGGCATCAAAATCCGATTTTTTAAAAACATTTAAGCAAGTGAAAAATCAACATCTCGTAAGTTTTTTTTACACGGTACATATCCCCTGTGTAAAAAAAAAGACCTGAGTGTAATCAATATGTTAGTATAACTATGGTAGGAAAAAAAACTAAATTAGTTATTATTTTGATATCAAAATAGCAATCTGAATGTTTTGAAAAAATTGGTTGATTTCAAGATTCAAATCAAAAAATGTTGTCAATAATATACGAATGGTGCCATATTAAACTGCCGCTATTCGCATGTCCGTCCCATAGCGAAAATCACTAAGCCGAGAAAATCGCGTTTTAAGTTTGCTTCGTACCATTGCTTCTTATGTGATGGGACAACTAATTTGACTGTATTTCCAAACTTTTTCATAAAAAAGTTGTTGAGCTCATCCAGTATTCTGAAAATATGTGTGATTATCTACCATTTGCATTGAAAAACTCAGTTTTGACAAAAACAACTATGGGACCGACATGCGAAGAGCGGCAGTAAAGAACTGGAACTGGAAATAATCATCCAGTGGTACAAATTACAAGAAAGTATATAATGAATCGCTTTTGTTATTATAGACAAATAACAAGTTAAAATATGATGAACTATTGAAGTTTATTATATCAAATACCATAGAAATAGACGATGTGAAGTTTTTAAACTTAGAGTTTCGTTTTCATAACAAATTTTAGTGGAATTATATTCAATATAGGAATAAGACACACGAATCATGTAAATGATTAGTCTACGATGACTCTTATATTATTATGAATGATCAATTCCTTCTTATCGAACATTTTTTAACAGACATGAATAACGATATTTATTTTGTTGGGAGAGAACTGATAGTTAATGAGATTTATGACAACATGTTTAAATATAAGCTAAGAAACCGACTAAGCCTACGAAAGTTATTTAACTTATATTATATATTCGACAATGTATTAGTATAAGTATTACAGACGAACAGGACGAAATCAATTTTATATCGATTTGTAAATTCAATTCGCAGGTAGATTAATATCAATAAATGTTGTAAACCAACACTGTAAAAGTCATAATTGGCTTTGCGATGTTCATAAAGAAAACAGCAAGCATCATGATTGACTAGTAAGAAGTAAAAATAAAAAAACAAATGTAGATTTCATAGATAAATGTGGATGCTTTTTTATAAAATATCAAATTTTGTTTTTAATTATATTTTTTTAGATACCTATATCAAAATAATATCAAAATATGAATTCAACCGAAATTAAAAAATAGCATATCAAAATATGTTATCAACATGATTTCAAAAACAAAACTAGATATCATTTTGATAGTATTTTGATTTCCAACTTTGCTCGGGTCCAATCAGAATTCAAAATAGGAAAAGCATGACAACGAATTACCATTGCCGGCCACGCCCATCTTCTCCGTTACGGGGAAAGGAAGGATATTGTTGATGTAACATCTTCAGCAACCCAGCAACGCCCCCAAAAGATGCTACGGAGTTGGATAGTTGGGTAGGAGATGGGTCAGGATTCGCTTAAGCAGGCGATGCGACCACAGTAATTGTTTTGTTTTGGAGGAGCATGGGAATAAACCCACGATCTTCTACTCAGTAAGCAAAAGCGGTAGCTAGCCGAGCTCATCTATTTTAATTCCAATCCTGTTTAAAATAAAATGTAAACAAACAAAAAGGAAAGGTCTTACCCGAATGATCGAATTTACTCCTATATATAGCTGAATTATCTATTATTGAATAACTATTATTTACGATAATTACAGGAAAACATAACATAAAATATTGACTGCAGACAAAACGTAACTACACCCAAGTAACATTGCAAGTTTTATAGTACGTTCAGACTACAGAATTATAACATGTTATAGCGCTATCTTGATGGTGGTTTCTGAGTTGCAATTATTTGACAACCGTTATAACATGTTATTACTCTCCAGTCTGGACAGCGTTTTATGGAGGTTTAACCAAGTCTCAACAAGATATTCTCACAAAATTATTTCACGCAGCTATTCTTCAGGATACACTTTCTTTCTATTAGGCCTATGTGGACATGCGTTAGCTTCGAAACTATTAACCAAACTGGGATCACAAAAAAAAACAAAATCAAAAACTTAAAATGTTTCAAAATCTACTGAAAGCTAATATGAAAAGAAAAAAAGATTATATTAAGCGAAACGAATATTGAATATCTTGTATCGTACGCTAATTGACTGTATCAAAAATAATAAAGGGTGATACGGTCAAAATTTGGTCAATATCAACTTGACGTATTTCTTTCAATTTTGCATTTAAAAAACCTGAACACCCCTCATTTTGAAGGTGTGTGTGTGTTGAATGTTGCTCCTATTTTGATTTTGGAATTCACTCTTCAGTTGTCAAAATGCCGTCCAAGCAAGAAAAGCAGCGTATCAAAATTTTGCTCGCGCATCGCGAAAATCCGAGCTACTCGCACGCAAAGTTGGCAAAATCGCTAAAAGTTGCCAAATCAACCGTTACAAATGTAATTAAAGTGTTTGCGGAACGTTTGTCGACAGCCAGGAAGTCTGGATCGGGGGGAAATCGAAAGCCGGAAGCCGCTGAGACGACAAAGAGAGTTGCCGGTAGTTTCAAGCGAAACCCTAACCTCTCTCTCCGAGATGCCGCAAATAAGCTGGGTGTATCGTCTACAACCGTGCATCGAGCCAAAATACGAGCCGGACTATCGACTTACAAGAAGGTAGTGACTCCAAATCGCGATGATAAACAAAATACGACGGCCAAAGCGCGATCCCGGAGGCTGTACACGACGATGCTGATGAAGTTTGACTGCGTGGTAATGGACGACGAAACCTACGTCAAAGCCGACTACTAGCAGCTTCCGGGACAGGAGTTTTATACGGCAAAAGGAAGGGGAAAGGTAGCAGATGTTTTCAAGCACATGAAACTGTCAAAGTTCGCAAAGAAATATCTGGTTTGGCAAGCCATCTGTACCTGTGGCTTGAAAAGCAGCATTTTCATAGCTTCCGGGACTGTCAACTAAGAAATTTACGTGAAAGAGTGTTTGAATAAACGTCTGCTGCCTTTCCTGAAGAAACACGGTTGTTCCGTACTGTTTTGGCCGGATTTGGCATCTTGCCATTACGGTAAAAAGGCCATGGAGTGGTACGCCGCCAACAACGTGCAGGTGGTTCCCAAGGACAAGAACCCTCCCAACACGCCAGAGTTCCGCCCAATTGAGAAATACTGGGCTATTGTCAAGCGGAACCTAAAGAAGACCAAAAAAACTGCTAAGGGCGAGCAGCAGTTCAAGGCAAACTGGCTTTCTGCGGCGAAGAAGGTGGACAAGGTGGCTGTACAAAATCTGATGGCAGGGGTCAAGCGTAAGGCCCGGCAATTCGGATTTGGAAAAGCGGAAGCCTAACTGAATATTTTTCCTGAATTTTATACTAATTGAACTTGAAAAAGAAATTTAATTTGATTTTTTAAATAAACGATTTCACCGATTTACACGCGTTTTCCCTTGACCAAATTTTGACCGTATCACCCTTTATGCAAAAATAAAATAAAATTTTAATAAAATGTTATGTAATTTTTTTAATAGAAGATCACTAATTTATTGGTTAGAAGTTTCTAATAAGCCCTCCCAGTTCCTCTGTATACAGACCAAATCTGATACTATAATCAGAATTGCTCAGTCTGCATGATGCAGCCGATTTCATCATGGATTTTTTTTTTTTTTTTTTTTTTTTAATTATAGTCATTTTAACGCTCTTGGGTCATTCGTGACTTGTCCGGGGGTGAGATTAGAACTCTTGACTTTGGCGTGAGAGGTATGGATGCTAACGACTACGCCGGGGTCGCCCCCATATCATGGAAGTTTGTTTCAGGCATAAGGAAGCATTATGAAGGTGATACGTTTCACTATTGGAAATCATCATAGTTGCAGATATAAAGAGACTAAACATAAACCTTTGCTTCAGTACCGTCAACCTCCATGTCCATGGATAGCGCTGTTATCTCAAAATTGACGAGAATCCATATGGGACTGATGGATTTTTAGACTTGAGAATTGTCGTAATTAGGTAAACTTTAATCATAATTGTACATACCTGATCTCTGTATACTAAAGCCAGAATATTCAACATAGTGGCTACATCAGGATGATCGTGACCGCTGGTTTTCTCCAGGTCCTCCAAAGCTTGCTTACAAAGCGGCACAGCAACTTCATAACGACCTTGAGAAGCATACTGGATAACTAAATTGTGCAATGTTCGCAAGCGCGCTGGAATCTCGTAGCCTGCATTGGCATGATTTGCAAACTGGTTCGGTGGTGTAGGCGACATGTTGTGCCTTTCTTCGGATTCATCTTCAGGGAACAGTTCTACCACGGGATCCGAACGGGACTTTTCTTGTTGTTCTTCATTTTCTTGATTATCGTCGTATTTTTTCACAGATGCCATGAACTCGAGATGTTTATTCTCTTCTTCAAGCTGTGCAACCGTCTGTTCGGAAGCTTGCAGTTTTTGTTGTGTATTAGCCAATTCGTCTCGCAACCACGCATTTTCTTGACACAATCGTCTAACTTGAGTTCGCAATTTTTGCTTTTCAGCCTCAATATTTTGGAGATGAGACGCAAGAACGACGATTACCTGTATAGGAAACAACATTATTTGTTAAATTAGGGGATAATTTGATAATTTACAGATCAAATTTAAAACTTGCGATACATTAAAAAAGGCCATTATCTTGTACCTTAGAACGCTCACAACATACCTGTGCTTCTCCTAAGCCCAATTCGATGTTTTCAATGTTTTTCATCACAATTTCCGACTTATCTGGATCCTTTTTGCTACCTTCGGTTAGGTTGGAGATTAAGGTTAAATGTTCCACCCTTAATGCTTCCAATCCTTGAAGCACAGTTTTGGTGTTTGATACTATTTCTTCCTGGCTCATTTGTGTCATTTTGGACAAAATTTGAAAAAAGCTGAAAATAAGATAAACAATTGTTTCAATCTTTAAAAAAACAGGAAAAGAAGAATTTGGATTATTTTATTTTATTTTAATTTTTATATTTCAACGTTTGATGGGGCACTGAGAGCGGAATTCAATCCAAACCCGAGGGGTGAGGGAGAGATAATGGCATAATAGTCTATACGGAGAACTTACACGGATTTGGATTAATTTTGTAAGATTGTAAAAAATATGACGGAGTAGCAAATTGTAAAACAATAAACAAATATTTTATTTCAATCCACACACACATTCTACATCCATTTAACGATCATCTTTTTGCACCTAGAGCTAGACATTGCAGTGAATTGAAACAGATTCACAACTCTAGCGATTTTGATGGACCTCCAGCTGGCTAGTATTTTTACGAAGAAGAGAACGATCTGTGAATACTGAACCTATTTTTTATAAAACGTGTAAATATTACATGCATACTCAATATATATTTTAGCTTAATAAACATAAAAATTAAATTCTTTTCTATTTCTTAACGTTCTCATTTTAGAGTAATTTTTCGGAGTTGACTTAGGGTGTTCCTGGAAAAAATAGTTTTTTAGCAATAACTTTTTTATTTGAAAGTTATCTTCTAGAATTTGTTGCCTGTATTTCTTCTAATAAAAAAGATATGCCCAAATATAGTAACAAATATGAATAAATTCAAATTGATTTTATACGAGTTTAAAAAATAACATACTTCCATTTTCTTCATATTATTGAGAATAACATACGCCTTTTCAAATGCCGTAAAAAACTTTTTTTTTTGTTTGCCCCAACCAGAGATATTAACATTTGAAAAGTGCATATTTTTAGTATAAAAACGTCAATAACTCTTGATCGGCTAAAGATATTGACAAACTTTGAGCAGCAAAAATTTGGGCCTTCTTAAGATCTAAAAGTTATCTGAAGACACCTTTGCTGAAAAATTCGAAATAAGAAAACTAGAGCAAAAAACTGTTTTTTTAAGAGCCACCCTAACTCAATTCAAGAAAATTGCTCTAAATGGGCCAATTTAAGAGATACAAAAAAGTTATTTTGAACAAAGTTGCTTGAAATTAGCTCAGCTATAACTTTGCCCAAGAATGTATACCTTAATTTATTCAAACAAAAAAGTTAGATTTTTGATTTTAATGATAATATGAACCACCCTAGAATTCATTGTCATAAAAATGAGGGCGTAACTATAAGGAACAACTTTGTAGAAGAGACTTTTAGTCTAAAGTTTCAATTTCAGGCTCAAAACATATCATTCCACCTAAATCTGCATTCTGGACCACTGTGCAGCGGCGCCGGTGGCGTAGTGGTAAGCGTGATTGCCTCTTTCACCCCGATGGGCGGGCCTGGGTTCAATCCCAGTCGGCGCCGTCGGCATTTTCTGAGGCATAAAATCTCTGGTCACGCCTTCCTTCGGAAGGGAAGTAAAGCCGTTGGTCCTCGGTCCATGAGTTGATGGGTCGGTTAGCTAGGGTTCAGGGTGGGAGCTGCCTCCCTGACGTCGGTAGCATTGGTACTTCAGTACGGAAAACAAGATCGACGGAAAACACATCGAGAGATCGAATATATTAAAAGAAGGGAATATTCCCTTCTTTATCGTATATCCAAAGAATTAATTATTTCCTTTTTTCAAAGAAAGGAAAACGCCTTGATCCATTAAGAAGTTTTTCTATTCTTTTTATATACGCGAAAGAAGATTCCAGGAGTGACTATAATAAACAAAAATAGTCGATCTAATATTTACATGGCATATTTTTCTGGGGAATGGTACATTCTGGGGAATGGTTTTCTGGGGAATGGTTCATTCTGGGGAATGCTTTTCTGGGGAATGGTGCATTCTGGGGAATGAGATTCTGGGAAATGGTTTTCGGGGGAATGGTTTTCTGGGGAATGTTATAGAACCGTTTGCACCATCGTATAAATAAGGTTCCCGTTTCACCTGTGCATACAATGCCTTGATTTTCTTTGCATGCACGTAACCTATGGCTCATACCGTAGTAGGCTGTGTATAAAAGAAAATGATTTACTTAGTTTGACAGTTGCACCATGACGAAGTGGCAGCGTATTCGTGATTTTTCCCACGCGCAAATGTCGCAAAAAGACATTTCAATCGCCGTGGGAGTGTCCTGGTGGACCGTCAAAAGGGTTTTAGACCGAGAAAAGAAAGGACAACTATCCGCGAAGGTGGCCACAGGTCGTCCGAGGTCAGCTCGGGTTCCGAGGGTTATCGCTGCTATCAAAAGGAAGATTCGGGTGAATCCAGTGCGTTCAAGAAGGAAAATGGCAAAGGAACACAGGATCACTGACTTTACTTCACGGAAGATCGAGAAGGAAGATTGCGGGCTGAAGTCGAGGGCACGGAAAAAAAAACTCACATGATTACCAACCGCTTCCGGGAGCTACGAGTCGAACGATGCAAGAAAATCTTGAACTTCCTTAAGCGAAAAAATCCGGTATTCCTGTTCACCGACGAGAGCATGTTTACCGTCGATCCTGTATCAAATTCCAGAACCGACCGGTATATTAGTTCTCTTCCGATAAAAGACGTGGCCGACGAGCACAAGAACGTGTATCTGACCAAGCATCCTGCTAGCGTTATGGTGTTTGGATTGGTGGCTTCCGATGGTAAAAAAATGGACCCGGTGTTCATTCCAGAAGCCGACAAGGTCAACACGGAGGTCTAAATCGGGATTTTAAGTAAGTATGTTCTTCCGTGGATCAAAGAACAGTACGGTCCGAAGCCAAATGTTGTACTTCAACAAGATGGGGCTCCGTGCCACACCTCGAACCGCACTCAGAAGTGGTTGCAGGAACATCTTCCGTTCTGGGCGAAGGATATGTGGCCGCCATCCAGCCCCGATCTTAATCCGCTGGATTACTCAACCCACCCGAGTACAGCAAGCCTCAGACAAACATTGACCCGTACCTGGAGAGAAATGGATCCAGACTACATTATAAGAACCTGTCATGCATTCCGGAAGCGTGTGGAGGCCGTAATTGCAGCAAGTGAAAACATAATAGTTTAAGACTCTGAGAAACATCCCCCCTTTAAATAAATAAAAAAACTCGAAAACGAAATTTTTGAGATTTTTTTTTTATTTTGACATTGCACCAAACATTATAACGCATACGGTACATTGCCTTTGCGGAATATACATTCATCTTTGAGACTGTTCATATACCACGAGAACAGTAAATTTTATCATGTTTTCACTTAAATTTTAGTAAGTTTCTTCGTAGCATCATCCATTGTTAGGAATTTAAAAATTATTTTTCGAGGTAATAAAAATTGTATTGTTCAGAAAGCTGATAATATATTCCTATTAAAAATACCATAAACGAACGATAACCAAATAATAGAACTATTCCACAAATGGTTTGGATGATACCGAAACACGTCGTTGAGCAACATAACCATAACAATTTTATTAGGGATATCTTATGTTTTCCAGCAACTTCCGGCCAGCTGCACTTCCTCTGCCAATCTCGTTCGAAAAACATACCATAAATAAATGGTGTATCATGACAAAAATAAAACATCATACTTATCAGAAAATTCAACAAATCCAATGGTATTTGTGAATGCAGCAACAACTCGTCAGCAATGCATCGTTTTGATGCCATGTTAGGTTTTGTTTGTGCCATCACCACTCAGAAATTTTCACGCTATAAATTCATGTAGAATATATGTGAAATTATCTTACATGAAATTCATTTGAAACTTATATATATTCATCTAAGTTTCAAAGCGTATTACATTGCTTTCAATACGATTTGTAGTAAATTTTATTAACGTCATGTACTTAAAAGACAATTTTTAATATCTAAAGGTTACGTGTTTTTTCCAGTGAAATTTATGTGACAATTTTTTTGCAAGGGACGAAGCTGAAATTTTGAAAGTATTGAAAGCCTTCGAAAAAGAAGAGCAGTCGACGTCTACCGAAATCTCCAATATTTGCAAGGTGATGTTCAGGTAATCGCCAAAAGCGGAATCTAATAAAGAAAGAGAAACTCAGAAGAAAAAAATGATTTTTTAATATCATTTGATTCCGGAAAAAAAGAGCTTCAGGGGTATGCGTTTCACATAAGGTTTAATAGGTTGCCTAGAATCGCATATCAGTCACGTATGGAAAAAGTAGGTTTTGAGAAAGTGACAGTCGAGGTAACGAAATGAAATTTCCATGTAAATATTTGAAAAATCAGTAAATTGACTGATATTTTTTTTTTTCAATAAATTACTATTACCCACTAAAAATTACTATTAGATATTGTGTATGTTTAAAGTGAAAATCTCGGAATCGAAATGCATACCCTTACTTATGGGAACAAGTTTTCCGAAAAACGATTCTTTCCGGGAAATGATCTACCGCGAAACTGACTTCAGGTGAATAGTTTCCGGGTAATGTCGAATAATCATCCCTGTCCAGGGATATTAATTTAAACGTATTTCAACGGGACTAAGATATTTCTTAACAAACAGAATATGTGATACTATTGGTCATTGATTTGTCCCATGCAATTATATAGCGTGAGATGAAGCTTAACATACAGTGAGTACAGTACCGTCTATGTTTATTCCGAACAAAATTGTGAGCGATAGAAAATTCTTAGCAAAACTAGTCTTCTGTTAAATATTACGTCAAATGTATTACGACGTCAGTACCAAAATCTAACAAACTAATCCCAAAAAAGGAAAGGGCATTATCTGGATTATCTGTCATGAGATCATTATTAATTTTGGATTTGCTACTTACTGCATTTATAATGCGGTAATTTCGCTGAAAAACAATTAGCTACACCCTACCGTTTTAAAATCGCTTCTAATTTCATGTTTCTTTCTGAGTAGGACTCGCATCTGTCGATCAATTTTAAATTCAGCATTGAAGTTTATATACAAAGCTATCGATACCTCCTCAGAACAAAAAAATATATCGGACTTTTCTGCCTAAACTGAGATCAGTCATCGACACCATACTTCAATAGTGCGGAAGAGATCTGTGTAAAAAAATCTGCACACAAAAGAACCATTCCATTTCGAAGAATAGATACGTAAAAAACCTAAACGTATATTCCTACTTTGTTACTATTATTGCAGGATTTATTTAAATTGAACATAAACAGAAAAACTGCATAGAAATTATTATACGCACTGTGTAGTCATACTATTTTCCATCTTACCTTCGAGAAAGTTAAAGGTGCACAATATACAGATTTCACAGATTAAAATGTAGCGAGTTTCGACCCAAGCACACCACACATAAAAACCCAACTTTTTCGCTGATTTGTTCTTAACAGTAATAGGTTTTTAAATATCTCAATTATAAATTATTCAGGAATAATGAATGGAAATGTTTTCACTAAAAATCTGAGAGAAACTGCTTGAGAAATCTATATCGATAATAACACCACCAACACGATGACAAAGACACTTTGACACATGACACGTACACGTTAATTATTATTTCTATGAATTTGTGGTAAAAAATCTCACTCTGCTCACGCTAATGGCGGTAAGCTTCAACTCGGATTAACTTTTAATAATATTATAGGCGAATCCATTAGGCCTTTTTTTAATGCAGCTCCAACGTAGAGTGCACCACGCGAGTTCGAAAAGAAACGTTAACCAAACCGTTTGTTTACATCAGAATAACTATTTTTCACAACGCAAATTAAAACATTTTTAATTCAATATCTTGCCAATTTCCATCGGTAATTGTCTTATTGTACGATTTTTCACAGATTTGAACTGATTTGTACCTTAACTATTCACACACAAGAAATCCGCAAGATCATAACCACTAATAGTACGTTAAGACTACAGAGTTATAACATGTTATAGCGCTATCTTGATAGTAATTTCTGTATTGCAATTATTTGACAACCGTTATAACATGTTATAACTCTCCAGTCTGGACAGCGTTTAATAGTACGTTCAGACTACAGAGTTATAACATCTTATAGCGCTATCTTGATGGTGGTTTCCGTGTTGCAATTAGTTGACAACCGTTATAACATGTTATAACTCTCCAGTCTGAACAAGGCATAAGGCACTTTTCGAATTTTCCATTTTTCTCAACAAAAATATTCCTGAACACCAGCAGGATCTTTGCAATAACGTTACAGAATTAAATTTTTCAAATGTAAATCAAGTTTTGGAGCATCTCTAATAAATCAATTAACCAGGAAAAGTAAAATAGTGTTCCGTTTCCTGTCTCACGGTAGAAATTTCTGCTCACAACACTTTTTTTTGACGTTTTCCTATTCATCACCAGAGGCTGAATCGATCGTTTAGTTTCTATACGCCTTTTTAATGCACCACCAACGTAGAGTGCGCGTAGTGTGGTTGAATCGATCATTTAGTTCCCATTAAAAAGGCCTATTTTATGCACATGCGGTGGATAAATTAATCAGAAAAGATGAAAATATTTTCCTCTTCCTAACACTGAAAAATTGAACTATTCCCATTTTGCTTGAAATTTAATCAATTTGACATTTAACTCAGTTTAATCATATCGAATGATTAAAAATTTATCCTCTCTTTCTAAAAAATAAGCATCTGATATTAATCCCAGTTTAATCATGGTTGATTAGATTGTAGATTATCTTTTTTTGAATAAATTTTAATCATTTTTGATTCTACACTAATAAAATTCCACACATTTTTATTGACGAATTTCCATGTGAAATTCCATATGATTTTCATGTGATCACACATAAACAGAATCCACCCAGAAGCACACATGAAATATATGAGTCAAATGAATAGTATGTGTGGTTACACATGGATTTTATGTGTACACATATTGAGTGTGTGTCCGACACATAGATATTATGTGTTGATCACATTGCAAAAATTCATGTGTGGGACACATAAAAACAATCTTTGAAATTTTATCAGTGTATTCCCGCATAAACGCGAACCATCACATGACCTTACCGATAATGGTTATAAATTGTTTATAATCCCTGCTAAACTTCAACTGAAATGGTTATGGAACTTTACATGAACGTTTGTGTGATAAAGTTTTAACCTTATGTATTATGGTTTTTTGGAAGCGGACCTTACAAATAATGGGTTGTTAAGAACCATTACCATTCAAAATTCTTGTTTTCTCCATACATTTTCGGAAAGAGAACTATATTAGAACGTTTTTACTTATGGTTTGAGAACATTAATGGTTATGGTTATGGTAGTCAGTAAGGTCCATTAATGGTTTTGTATTATCGCTCAACTTTACGTGAAATATATCGTGAATTGGTAATCAGTAATTTACAGGCAACCAATTCGCGATATATTCCACATAAAGTTGATCGATGTTACAAAACCATTCATGAACTTTACTGGTTACCATAACCATTACCATTAATGTTCTCAAACCATAAGTTAAAACGTTCTAATATAGTTTTCTTTCCGAAAATGTATGGAGAAAACAAGAATTTTGAATGGTAATGGTTCTTAACAACCCATTATTGGTAAGGTCCACTTCCAAAAAACTATAATACTTAAGGTTAAAACTTTATCATTAAACGTTCATGTAAAGTTCCATAACCATTTCAGTTGAAGTTTAGCAGGGATTATAAACAATTTATAACCATTATCGGTAACGTCAATTTATGGTTCGCGCTTATGCGGGTTATTTTGATTATCAGTTTTGAAAAGGAATAAAATGTAATACTGGAGAGATTATTTCGATTTTAATCATGCATGACTATACCAACAATCAATACGAAACTAACGATTTTAAATTGGCTCACTACTTCACTAGCCTATTGGTCCCAAGCAAACGATTAACGTACCCCATTCTAGTCGAAATTCTATTACTACGCAATGTTTGTTTTGATTCGCTATGAAAGTTTGACAGATAAAATGTGGGGTTATTGGTTTTTCCTATGTTTCGAGGGGTGAATCGATTAGCTTGGGACTGAAGAGAGTACCAGAGCTGAGCCAAAGTAATGCCGAAGTAATCATGGCTCGGACGGTGCACGGTATCCGCAAAAAACCCCATAATGACTACAAAGTAAGCATTTTTGAAAGAGACTGGGACTACCCATTAAATGAGTAAACATATTACCCATTTATGAGTATTTGTAGTTGTAATAACTCATAAATGGGTAAAATTTTACTCATTTATGGGTAGTCTCTAGGCCAGTGACAAGGCCTATACCATCAGCAGCGTTTGACAGTAGGCAGCATGTCCCGGGCTCAAATCGTTTATTTTGCTGTTTTGGGCCCGCTGCCACGGTATAACATGTTGCCTACGCGCCTGCCACTTGACTGGTAGTCCCAGTTTCCCTTGAAAATGCTTACGTTGTAGTCATTTTTGGGTATTTTGCGGTTACCGTGTGAAGCGGGAATCTGCATACTTTTTAAGCTTTTTACCCTTCTTACAAAGAAGGGTATAGATATCACTTGAAAAACCGACTATCGATCCGAGGCCCGGAGGGCCGAGTGTCATATACCATTCGACTCAGCTCGACGAGATCGGAATATGTATGTGTGTGTGTGTGTGTATGTGTGTGTGTGTGTGTGTATGTAACGAAATGAATGCGCTCACGTTTCTCAGCAACCGCTCAACCGATTTGGACAAACTCGGCGCCAAATGATAGGTCTTGGGGTCCCATTGAACGCTATTGAACGGTTTTGGAATCGGTGAACCGGTTCCGGAGATATGGCCGGAATAAGATCCGGTGAATATGGGCCTTCACGCTGGATTTAACGGAAAACGTATTAAAACCATCATGCGACACATCAAATTACTACAGAATTCAAAAATAAGATCAATGCAAGTCGTGTTAAGTGTTCCAGACCACATTGGACACACTTGGACATGTTCCGGGTACCCCGGGGAAGTTGCTTGAATATGAATTGAATTAAAACCCATTAAATCACATTAAAATACGATGATAAGGTGATTGGTAGCCTCACCAAATAGACTACACCCGGATATATTCCTGGTACCCGCAGGCAATGGCGTAGCGTCACTGGATGACACGGGGGTGGGGGGAATTAAAAGTTTGCGTTGGTTCTTTTTGGTAGAAAGTCTTTAGCATTCAAAACAAAAGTCAGCCAACTGTCAATTCAAAAACAACTCAATTTTTACTTTTAAAAGTAGAAACTTTCAAATCAAATTGTAGAACTGTCAATATAAAAACCCATGTTTTTAAATAGACTCACGAAATGATTTAATTTAAAAGATGGGCATTTTTAACGCAACGATGTATGTTTTCATTTCAAATATGAATTATTTTTCAATTCGACTGCTATATGCTTTGAAGAAAATAACAATAGAAATATTTTATTTAATATATATTCGTTTATTTATATTTTTGTTGATGACTGAAAGGGCACTGCATTGTGGAATCTTCCATGAGAAGCATTTTACGCAAATGATACAGTTGGTGATGGTGATGGTGGGAGTAGCCTTTCTTTCCGGCAAGACTGACGAGGCTGCTCAAAACACATAAATTAGTAAAATCGGAAGCATGATCGAAAGTTTTCGAAAATTTCATCAACCTACCTCCAAATCCCATAACTGGAATATCCTTCCGATCCTTCCACTTGATAGCGTCAGAAGAGAAACAAGCGCGCCGGCGGATGAAAATGTGGGAAACTGCTGCTGCTCATGCATGTTAGCTGCTGGTTTACTTTCTTTTTCACATGTCTAATTTGGCGGGAAACGGTGGTCCAGTATTGTCAAAAACTTTGCAATGAAGAGGTTTTTGACAGTTTTTCGACTTTTATTCTAAAAAATACACTTTTAAAATTACAAGCCGAAAGTGAAAACAACACTTTTAAACCAAAAAAATATGATTTATTTTGAAAATTTTCATAGTTAAAACTACGAAATTTGGCATACTTTTAATTTGATCATGCAATATTTTTATAGCAACAATTTTTGTTCTTTGTGTGCAGCTACAAGCAAAAGCTAACAAAATAGTTTTGGAGAGCGTTTACTCAACTTTCTCGCAATCATTATTCAATTTGTCAGTCGCACTGAATAACATCAGCCAATAAACGCTAATGTCACTTCTATACACACACTAATCAACTTTCAACTTGTAGCTGCAAAACAAAACTAACAAAGTGAATATATTACACATTTTATGGCTTCTAAACAACCAACCACTCTTGCTGAATAACATAAACATCAAAAGTGCTTTTTCAACAACTAAACAACCTGTACTCAGCTTATAAACTGTGTTAGAGCAACTTCGGAAGCATTTTCACAGTCAACTAGGTTTATTTTTAGACGTGTGCAGTTTTACAGCTTTTACTTTGCTCGTTTATAACTAGTCGAGAAAAGTGATTCGTGTGCACTATTATAAAGCCTCTACTCAGCGATTTTGTTGTAGAAGGGAATGTTGATTTGTTTACATAAGTTCAAAGTGTTGGCGTAGCACAGTTGGTA